TACCACATCAAGCATGTGAACCTAGAGAATTTTTTTGATGCTCTATATTCTTTTGCCAAAATAATTCAGTTCTAGTTCTTTTCTATCATTAGTCTAAACTTTTTTTTTGTTATTACTAAACTCAATTTGGGTTCAAAATCTTATTTCCGGCCCAGGTAACATAGTGAAACCTGTCTCTACAAAAAAAAAAAAAAAAAAAAAAAAAAAAAAAAAAAATTAGCTGGGCATGGTGGCATGAGCCTGTAGTCCCAGCTACAGTGGGAGGATCACTTGAGCCCAAAAAGTGAGACTGTAGTGAGCTGTGGTGATGGCACCACTGCACTCTAGCCTGGACAACAGAGTGAGACCCTGTCTCAAAAAAAAATCATATTTGATTAATAAAAGTTGTGGAATAATATGTATTATCTCCCTATTCTATCCTTGAAATGGTTTATATAATTGTGGCTGTTATTGGCCCTATAGATCTGAATGAAGAAGGAGAAAGACAGGGAGGAAGCAACAATGGAAAGGAGAGAGGGAGGAGGGAGGAATAAGGCCCCAGGTGATGCCTCTAGAGTAAAATGTGTTCACTGCATGCAGAGACCATGGAAAGGTGTCCCTTTAAGGGAGGGTGGAACATAAAAAGAGTATGGGGCTTGGGAAGGCAGGACTGAAACCACCTAGGGGTAGGCTTGTAGCTTGGGTGGAGGGCAACTGAGATAATCAAAGGCTGGTGATGTGCAGATGGCCACACTGTTTTCCACCAGGCTGGTCCGCAGGTATGTGTAGGGCATGTCCTGCTTTGCATTCCAGATCTCAGTTCCTTATCCAGGGCAGCCAGCTCCTCCCTGAAATTCTGTGGCACAGCCTTAGGCCCAGGGCCTGAAAAATACTCTCCTTATGCTGGCCCACACCCATGTGGGATGGAGAGGAAAAGACCCAGAGTTTAGGGTGCTACATGGCCCTATGGCTGCCTCTTTCCTCAGAGCCCTGGGCACTCAGCTCTCACCATAATGGACTAGCATCTGCCCAGTTGCCAAGTGATGGACATCTTGAGAAAAGCCTGATGAAAGTTGGGCAGCGTCGCCATCACTGTCTCCAGCATTGCATCATTGGTGGTTGGCAGGGGTAGCCATATCATGCAGGGTGCATTAGGGACCCAAATGTACCAATCCAGCTAAGGAAAGTCGGGATCTAGAGTCAATATCTGCTAAGCATGAAAACCTTGTGAACCCTGTGCACACAAACTCCTCCCTCACCCCAGGCCCCAAATTCCCAGCTGTTCATCTCTGCTAAGTAGCTGACCCCGGTGGACAGAGGAGTGTTGGCCAGTGCAGGTAAAGATACACATGGTGACAAAGTGGCATACCTGGTCCCAAGACTGTAAAGACACAGGAAACCCTTCAAGGGGTGGGGAGAGTTAGAAGCTGTGAAGCCAGGAGTAGAGCCAAGCTCAGAGAATGAGGCAGAGAGAGGAGAACAAGAGGGGTGAGAAAGAGTGGCAGGAACACTCAGTAACTCTTGTGGGAATTACGGTAACAGCAGGCTGGGGTGTGGGGGTGGGAGCTCTGCTGGGCGGGTCCCACTCAGTAGGATGCTGGTGCTCACTCATATTGGCTCACAAGAGGCAGTCAATGATGTTAAGGTTTTTAGTGAGCTGGTCAACATTACCTTAGTAGCCAGAGTAGGAATATTTATGCCATGGAAATGTACAAATGTTACCAACTGGGACTTTTTATTTCCTGAGAGTCAGTTGTTAAATATTTATGAACAACCACTGGTCCCGCTGCATCAGGCACCTAAGGGGTTCTCAGTGTATAGGATGGGGACCTGTCTCCAGCTGAGAGGGAATGAAATCTGAGAAGGCCTTTGGAGTTTTCATAGGTGTTGGAAATGCTTCTGGAAGATTTCACAGAAGCACAGAGGATTCCGGGGAGGTCTCTTGTGTTTTGTGTCTGAGATCTCGGGGCAGGGGCCTCTTACCTCGGTCCTGGGCCCCTAGCAGCCCAATTTCAGTGATCTCCCGACACCAGGTCTGCAGCTCTGGGTCATCATGCACAGCCATATCTGTCTTACAGTAGAGACTCACGATTCCTTCCATATACCTGTCAGCCAACAGGGCAGGGCCAGGGTGCTGAAGCCAGCTCTGCTCCTGCTCACATGGCCATGTCAGGGTCCCAGGCCCCCAACGAGACACAGACCTTCTGCTCTCCTAGACATCTTCTCCACCCCTAATGGCCTTCCTGCTTGTGAAAGATGATTTCCCAGAGCCACAGTGCATCTTGGCAAAGAAGGAGGACTTGACTCCCAAGAAGCCCTGGTCAGCCAAGTCATCAGGGGGACAGGAGATAGTTTAGCAGGGCTCTGGCTCACTTGAGCAGCTCCAAAGGCAGCTCCTTCCTCACCAGTCACCATCTGAGGAGCAAGGATGGGCAGGGTCAGGTGAATCAACCAGCCCTGGGTCCAGAGTCAGAAAGAAGAGTGACCTAGAATCTCCCTTTCTCTCCCCATACCTGGTCAAAAATTTCCATGTTGGAGACCAGCCCAGTCCTGGCCTGGATATTAATTTCCGAGGTGTATTGCAGGTGGGGAATTATAAACTAGAGGGAAAAAAGCAGGGAAGGGCAAGGTCAGAAGAAAGCTGCACAGGTTCCTGAAGGAAATAGAGGCTGACAAACAGGAAGGGTACCAGGTCTTCAGAAAATTCACAGAAGTAAAGTTCAGTACCTCTCAACAGTGAGTTTTCAGAAGTGTCATTCGACCCAGCAATCCCACTACTGGATATATACCCAAAGAAATAGAAATTGTTCTGCCATAAAGACACATGCATGTTTATGTTCATCACAGCACTATTCACAATAGCAAAGACATGGAATCAACCTAAATGCCCATCTACATGCCCATCTACAATAGACTGGATAAAGAAAATGTGGTGCATATACACCACGGCAGCCATAGAAAAGAACAAGATTATGTCTAGGCAGCCATAGAAAAGAACAAGATTATGTCTTCTGTAGCAACATGGATGGAGCTGGAGGCCATAATCCTAAATGGACTAACACAGGAACAGAAAGCCAAATATGGCATGTTCTCACTTATAAGTGGGAGCTAAGGGGACACTGAATACACATGGATACACAGAAGGGAACAAAAGACACCAACATCTACCTGAAGGTGGAGGGTGGGAGGAGGGAAGGATCCCAAAACTACTTATCGGATAACATGTTTATTACCTGGGTGACAAAATCATCTGTACACCGAACCCCTGTGACACACAATTTACTTATATAACAAACTTGCACATATACTTCTGAAACTAAAAGTTAAAAATAAATAAATAAAAATACGAATAAACCACCAAGTTTTTAGTTGATTTGCATTGACTAACATGTTCTACAAACCACTGACTTAGCGCTTTATGATAACTGAAAAACATCATTCTCCTTTCTTTTCATATTTTTTTCACAGGTCTAGACTAAAGTTTCTCAACTTTGTTTTCCATTATCGTTCAATAAGTCGTCTTTTTTTTTTTTTTTTTTCTTTTTAGAGATGGAGTCTCGCTCTTGTCGCCCAGGCTGGAGTGCAGTGGTGTGATCTCGGCTCACTGCAACCTCTGCCTCCTGGGTTCAAACAATTCTCTTGTCTTAGCCTCCCAAGTAGCTGGGATTACAGGTGCCCACCACCACGCCCAGCTAATTTTTGCATTTTTAGTAGACGTGAGGTTTTACCATGTTGGTCAGACTGGTCTCAAACTCCTGACCTCAAGTGATCCGCCTGCCTCAGCCTCCCAAAGTGCTGGAATTATAGACATGAGCCACTGCACTCGGCCTAAGTACCCTTTTGAGACCTTTTTTCCTAATCTGAGCCCACCTCATAAAATTGTAATGCTACATATATACTGTATATCCATTTATGTATTGCATTACATTTGTGATTTGTACATAAAAATAATAAGATTTTTCACACACATTTTCCAACCACCTTCATCCCTTGGGGGACATTGTTGCCCCATTGAGAATGGATGGTCAACCACTGCCTCCCTCCACAGCCTTGGCTTCTTCCTCTCCCCTTCATCCATTATGCTTACCTTCAGCCACTGGTCTCCAACATGAGAGTTTTCAACCAGGTATGGGGAGAGAAAGGGAGATTCTAGGTTACTCTTCTTTCTGACTCTGGAGGCAGGGCAGGTCGATTTACCTGACCTTGCCCATCCTTCAAAGACTGAAAGAAGCCAAGCTCATTCCACCTCAATCCCGCATAAGCTGTTCCCTCTGCCTGGAACACTGTGCCCCACCTTGGTCATTTCAAGGTTAGCTTCTGACAGTCACATTCTCTATGTCATCTTTTTCAAGGGAGCCTCTTCTGACCGCCCAATCTAACCTTGCCATCACATCACCCTGCTTTGATTCTACCTACCACAGCTGCTATGTTACAATACAATCTCTATTGTCTGTTTGCCTTTGCTGAAAATGAAAATCTTAAAAGATCAGGACCTCAACTATCTTGCTTACTGCTAGCATCTAGAATGGTTCTTGTCACACAGGAGGCACCCCATACATGTTTTTAATAAGTAAATACTTTGCTCTAATGCTCTGTAATAAACCAGGCAACTGTTGTTGGTCTGAGCCCCTCTAACTGGCTAGTATCACTATTTTAGAACTGATAAATGATTGGCTGGATAAAAATCTTTGTATATTTTTTGCATTGTTTCCTCTTATTGGATGGAATCCTTGGTTATTTGCATGTACTGTTTATGTGCTGTACCAGTATCTGTGCTTTGCACATAAAGCATAAGATTTTTTTTGCTACTTTCCCCAAGAATGATTCCCACCCCCATGGAAGGTGATATCCCCTTTGAAAAATGCATGGTCAGCCATGCTTGCACTCTTTTGCTCTCACATCTTCCATTCTTTGATTCTTTCCATATCCTGAGACTGCTCAGAGAGAGGGCCTGCTGAGGTGGGAACATGCCCTGGGGGCAGAGATAGAGGCCTGACGGAGAGAAGGGAGTAAGGTGTTACCTTGAAGACAGGATGTATGGATGGAAGGCACCTCATGGTGGCCACAGCAATGACCTCAGCCATCAAGTGTCCCCTCAGAAGATGAGACTGCAGCTCATGGAGCTGGAAGTCAGAGCTATGGGCCCAGCGTTTGACCAGAAGCCAGACCATTGCAGGATCCATGGGCAAGAGAAGCAGAGGTGGCTGGGATCCTATGTTGGAGCTGGAACAGGAACAAGGTGTGAGGAGAGAAGGGGTGAGTGCCAGGCGCTCAGCAACCCCCCTCCCTTGCATGTTTAACCTCTCCCATAGTCCTCCAAATGTGCTTCCCTTTCTCCATCTCACGGCTGCCACTCCCTACAGCTACCATTTCTTCCCCTCTCTTTCCTACCCACTCAGTACATTAGCACCCTGCAAGCTGCTCTGCCTCCTACGTTCTGCAGAAACTGCTCTTCTAGTGCCTTCTCCAGCCTCCACTTCCCCTTTAGTCCCCACAGTGTGGACAAGATTCAAACTGCCTGCTTCCTTCATCCCACACACTTTTTTCAAAATCTCATCTTTTAGCCCCATCTTCACACAAATGACTGAATGAATCTCTAGTTCTCAGCTGCCTGCCAGACAATTTAAATACCTTCCTGTTATCTCAACATTGGCTAGGCGGAAGCCTACACGAGCACCCTGTCCTCTTTATTTATGTTATTTCTGCAGACACCTGGCCTGGCTTACCTTTCCTCCCTCCGTGATTTCCCTCTGCACTCACATCCACCTGTCCTCTCCATCCTGACGGTCACTACCCACATCTGAGCCCACCTCCTCTAGGGGCAAGTGCTAGAGCATGTCGCCCTAATTCCTGTTTCTAGCATCTCCCCTCTCCAACCCAACCTAAACACAACTGCCTATATGGTGTGCCCACGGCACATTTCTTTTTTTTTTTTTTAATGAGATGGAGTTTTGTTCTGTTGCCTAGGCTGGAGTGCAATAGCGCAATCTCAGCTCACTTCAACTTCTGCCTCCTGGGTTCAAGTGATTCTCCTGCCTCAGCCTCCAGAGAAGCTGGGATTACAGGCATGCGCCACTACACCCAGCTAATTTTGTAGTTTTGGTAGAGGTGGGTTTTACCATGTTGACCAGGCTCAACTCAAACTCCTGATCTCAGGTGATCCGCCTGCCTTGGCCTCCCAAAGTCCACAGCACATTTCATCACAGCCTTCTCCAGCTTCCCACATCACACTCCTTAGCCTGGCATAGTCTGGCCCCTAGTCCAACTGCCCCTTAGAAATCTTCTAACTCCTCTGCCTCAGCCTCTCTGCCCAATCCATCTTGCCCCTGAGGACAAATCCTTCTCCTCCGTCCTGTTTGAGTCCTGGCCCTCCTTCAAGGCTCATGACACCCCACCTCCCCTGATCCCTCCTGGGCGGTCTCTGTCCTCAGGGACTTCCTCAGTACCGGAGCTTCTTCAGACTGCCCCAGTCTTTCTCTCCAACTATACTACAGGGCCTTCAAATCACAGACTTTGCCTATTTCCTCCTTTAATGTCTACCCCAGTGCCTTAGCACAGTGCCTTTGCAGATAGTGGGTGCCTAGTGAATTTCTATAAGGGCTGAGCTGAGAAGGCCGGATACTGGGAGCAGAAATCTCGAGTCCTCTCACCTGGATGACCACGGGCAAGAACTTTCCATCAGGATGCAGTTTCAGCACGACCAGAGGGGCAGCCAGATGCTGCTGGCTATACAGAATGACTTTGGCCTTGATCCCATTCAGCAAGAAGTCAGCTTCAAACAGTGTGCCTCCCTAGATGGGGGAAGAGGGCAAGGGCTGCTATCAGTACAGGCATATTCATTCTACTCTGATTCTTCCAGGAGAGAAGAGAGAGAAGGAAACTAACTTATTTCCATCACCTACTTTGTACCAAGTAGGGAAGCATGTGCTTATTGTCTTATATAATTTTTTTTTGAGACAGGGTCTTACTCTGTTGCCCAGGCTGGAGTGCAGCAGCAGGATCACCACAGCTCACACTGTAGCCTTGACTTCCTTGGACCCAAATGATCCTCCCACCTCAGCCTCCTGAGTAGCTGGGACTATAGGTATACGCAGCCACATAAAAAATTACAGGGACTAATTTTTGTATTTTTTACGGAGATAGGGTTTCATCATCGTGACCAGGCTGACCTGGAATTCCTGACCATCATCCTGCCTCAGCCCCCCAAAGTCTTGGGATTATAAGCATGAGCCACTGTGCCTGACCTTGTAATTTTTATACATAGTTGAATGAACCTCAATTTTACAGAAGAGGAAACATAATCAGACAGGTTGGCCGTTTTGCCTGATATCACAAAGCTTACAAATAGTAGAACCAGGGTTCACATCCAAGCCTATCTGCTCTGTAATTCCATGCACTTTCTCTCTGTTGTTCTATGTTGATTCCTTATTAACAGCCACAGCACTCTGACCCTGGGTCTCTTACTCTGCACACTCCTTGAATCCCTAGCACCAAGGCCCAGTCACGTTTCTTCGTTTGACCCTGTTTCTATCAACCATTCCACCTTGCACACCCTGCCTCCACAGCATTTGGGGAGGAAGCCGTGCAGCTGAGCTTCTCCAGGATCCTCCAGGACTTCTGCTGAATCCCTCCCTGTTGACTGGCAGCAAGCGTGGCCCAGAGTGGGTCCTGCAGCAGTATCGTTGATGCTAGCCCACCCCATTTCACTGTTGGGCCTCCTTAGGACTCTGATGTCCATACATCCAGCTCCTCCAGCTGGGCCTGCAGTTCCTCCATCCCTGGAGGGAACATGAGGTGGGCAGGAAGGTGAATAGAGACCCTCAGCACCATGGGGTTGGCACCATTAAGAAACTGGTACTTTTTTTTCTTCCTTCCTTCCCTCCTCCCCTCTCTTCTCCTTCAACCCTCGTTCCGCCGGAGCCCTGCTGGGGCGAGCGGTTGGCATTGCAGGCGCTTAGTCTCCAGGGCCGCCCGGCGGGTAGCTGGTGGGGGGTGGTGGTGGGGAGGCAGGAACCATGATGGCGCCTCAGAAGCACAGCGGTTGGGGAGGGGGCAGCTCAGGGCCCAGCCAGGGGAGGCAGTTTCGGGGGGTTCGGCGGCGGTGGTGGCTGCGACCGCTTCGGGGGGCAAATTCGGCGGAGGGGTCTGTGGAGGCGGTGACAGTTATTCGGCCTCCTCTTCCTCCGCGGTGTTACAAGTGAAGAAGCCGAAAATGGAGCACGTCCAGGCTGACCACGAGCTTTTCCTCCAGGCCTTTGAGAAGCCAACACAGATCTATATATTTCTTCGAACTCGGAATCTCATAGCACCAATATTTTTGCACAGAATTCTTACATGTTTCATCGAAACTCCAGAACAAACATCAAAAGGAAAACATTTAAAGTTGATATGTTATCAAAAGTAGAGAAAATGAAAGGAGAGCAAGAATCTCATAGCTTGTCAGCTCATTTGCAGCTTACATTTTACTGGCTTCTTCCACAAAAATGATAAGCCATCACAAAACTCAGAAAATGAACAAAATTCTGTTACCCTGGAAGTCCTGCTTGTGAAAGTTTGCCACAAAAAAAGAAAGGATGTAAGTTGTCCAATAAGGCAAGTTCCCACAGGTAAAAAGCAGGTGCCTTTGAATCCTGACCTCAATCAAACAAAACCTGGAAATTTCCCGTCCCTTGCAGTTTCCAGTAATGAATTTGAACCTAGTAACAGCCATATGGTGAAGTCTTACTCATTGCTATTCAGAGTGACTAGTCCAGGAAGAAGAGAATTTAATGGAATGATTAATGGAGAAACCAATGAAAATACTGATGTCAATGAAGAGCTTCCGGCCAGAAGAAAACGAAATCGTGAGGATGGGGAAAAGACATTTGTTGCACAAATGCCAGTATTTAATAAAAACAGACGCTTATGGCTTTTAAATGGGGAATATGAAGTAGCCATGCAGGAAATGGAAGAATGTCCAATAAGCAAGAAAAGAGCAACATGGGAGACTATTCTTGATGGGAAGACGCTGCCTCCATTTGAAACATTTTCTCAGGGACCTTCATTGGACAGGAGAGACAAATGATAAATCTACAGCTCCTATTGCCAAACCTCTTGCCACTAGAAATTCAGAGTCTCCATCAGGAAAACAAGCCTGGTTCAGTTAAACCTACTTAACCTATTGCTATTAAAGAATCATTGACTACAGATCTATGAATAAGAAAAGGATACTCCAAATGAAAACCGACAAAAATTAAGAATATTTTATCAGTTTCTTTCTAACAACAATACTAGACAACAAACTGAAGCAAGAGATGACCTACATTGCCCTTGGTGCACTCTGAACTGCCGCAAACTTTATAGTTTACCCAAGCATCTTAAATTCTGCCATAGCAGATTTATCTTCAATTATGTTTATCATCCAAAAGGTGCTAGGATAGGTGTTTCTATCAATGAGTGTTATGATGGCTCCTATGCAGAAAATCCTCAGGACATTCATTGCCAACCTGGATTTGCTTTTAGTTGCAATGGACCAGTTAAGAGAACACCTATCACACACATTCTTGTGTGCAGGCCAAAACGAACAAAAGCAAGCATGTCTGAATTTCTTGAATCTGAAGATGGAGAAGTAGAACAGCAAAGAACACACAGTAGTGGCCACAATCGTCTGTATTTCTATAGTGATACCTGCTTACCTCTCCGTCCACAAGAAATGGAAGTAGATAGTGAAGATGAAAAAGATCCTGAATGGCTAAGAGAAAAAAAACATTACAGAAATTGAAGAATTTTCTGATGTTAACGAAGGAGAGAAAGAAGTGATGAAACTCTGGAATCTCCATGTCATGAAGCATGGGTTTACTGCTGACAATCAAACGAATCAGGCCTGTATACTGTTTGTGGAAAAGTATGGACAGAAAATAATTAAGAATAATTTATGTTGAAACTTCATGCTTCATCTAGTCAGCATGCATGACTTTACTCTTATTAGCATAATGTCAATACATAAAGCTGTTACCAAGCTCCGTGAAATGCAGCAAAAATTAGAAAAGGGCGAGTCTGCTTCCCCTGCAAACGAAGAAATAACTGAAGAACAAAATGGGACAGCAAATGGATTTAGTGAAATTAATTCAAAAGAGAAAGCTTTGGAAACAGATAGTGTCTCAGGGG